TGGCTGGCCAGGGCAGAGCTTGAGAGAGAGGAGGAGGCAAAAATGGAGACTTCATCAGGGGACAGGCTAGGCTGGTCTTGGCAGCTCCTGGTGCTGGGGACGGCAGAGCTGCGGTGTAGGACCCCCAGGGCACCCACCCGGCAGGAGGCTCAGGAGATGGTACACGTGGGGGTGGGGCCAGCAGCCCGCAGAGATGCACAGAGGACCTCTGACCCGCAGGGCCCCTGCTCCAAGTGCAGGCTCCACCTAGATATTCCTGCCTAGAAAAAAACAAGGAACGGGGGACAGGGAGTACCTGTGACACAGCTTCTGCCAGTGGCTGGAGCTCCTGGAATGAGCAGGAGCCACAAGGGATGTATTTAAGGACCTCCCTTCCCACCCACTTGGCCCTTGGAGTCCCTGCCCAGGAAGTTCACGTGACAAGACAAAAAACAATATTCAAATGTGGGGTGTAGCATGATCCGGACCTCCGCTCCCTCCAGCCTGGGTTTTGGGGATTAGGTCCCAGGTTGTCTGCTTTTGTTTTATTCTGAAATGCAAGAATGTGTGTGTGAAGGCTGGGGCAGGGCTCACAGCCAGTCTTCAAAAGGGGCCTCTGTCTTTGCCCTGGGCGTGGGGACCGCTGATTGATTCAACGTGGCATGCCGCACCTGCACACTTCCCAAGACTGGTTGCCAGATGCTGTTCTCCAAGTGCCCTGCCTACATAAAGTCGGCAGCGGGGCAGCTACAAGTCACCGTGCACGGGCCTGTCTTCATCCCCCAGCTCATGCACAGCTGCCAGGGCCCATGCAGGCAGAGCCCGGGGAGCTGCAGGCTGGGGGCTTTCCAAAGGGCTCTTCGCTGATGTGTGCATCTGCCCTCCTGTTGAATAGCAGAGAAGAGGCCTGAGTCCAGTGAGAACCGCCTGGAATCTCCCTCTGTGTGGTCACCCAGGAAACCGAGATGCTTGGGAAAGAAGGAATCTGCAAAGCCCCTTCTTCTGCTGTTCAACAGCTGTTTGCTGGGCTCCTGCTCTGCGCCTCGCCGTGGGAAAGGAGGCCGCCGTGGAGCGATGCATCTGGTCGCTTCTGCCTCCACCGCCAGTGCTGCAGCCTCCCCCTGCCAGGCGCCTCCACTGCCCCCACCCGCCTGCAGCCGCCCTCCTAGCATCCATGCGTCCCTGCCTCCCAAGGTCCCCAGCACGATGCCGCCAGCCCCTAACGATGTGTTCTTGCCCCCTTTCTCCATCCACCTGGAATGCCCTGAGCTGTATCGCCACCCACATGGCTCTGCTCAAATGTGACATCAAACAGCACCAAGCCCGGTCATCATCTGCCTCCTGCTCCAGAGCACCTGCATCCCTCTGACATGCTGGGTCTGCTTTTGTTTTATTCTGAAATGTAAGAATGTGTGTGTGAAGGCTTGGGGGCATGGGTGAGCTCCCTGCCTCCCTCCAGATGTCCCCAGGGCTGGGCACACTCACCCAGGGAATTCGGGAGGGGCAGAGGAGCCTGGGGCCTCAGACTCCCTGTGACCTGTCCTGTAGGGCTTCTGGCCTCTGCCTGCCCCCGCATCAGCCACATCTAACTTGGGAGCCCTTTGGGTCCTAGGGACACCTGGTGCACCTGGCTTGTTTCATGGAGGCCTTGAGAGGGGCCACCCAGAGCAGCGATCACACAGCCATTTGGTGGCGTGGCTGGGGTTAGGCTCTTCCTGCGCACTCTCTGTTGTCCTTGGCATGGATGCCCTGGCGGCCACCCCCAGGAGGCTCAGAAAAGGGACACATGAGGGTTGTAGGCACAACCTGGGGTGGGCTCTGTGTCTGTGGGTCTTGGGGCCACCTGGGCGCTGAGCCGGCTCCTCCTGCAGGTGCCAGCGGCATGGGGTCCTACCATGGCAGGAAGAGCTTCGAGACCTTCTCTCACCGCCGCTCGTGCCTGCTGCGGTCTCTGCTGAACGACGAGGTCTACAAAGCCAGATACCCCCCCAGCCCGGCCAAGGTGACAGCTGGGGATGGGGGGCTGCGGGAGACTGGGCTGCACAGAGCAAGCGCTTAGCCTGGGCCTCACTGCCCGCGTGTCCTTCCCATAGATGACCTGGCACTGAGGAGGGGCCACCCTGCTGGGCCCCCATGCTGAGCGCCGCTTCTGGAGCCTGGGCCCCAGCCCCCTGCTCCTCTGCCGACCCCAACTGGCCCCCGACCCCCAGGTGGACCTTGGGCCTCACCCCTCCGTGTCCCCAAACCTTGCTAGACACACAGAGACCAATAAAGTTCTGCAGCTCAGCGCATGGTGTGTGCGAAGCTCCTTCAGCCCTCACCCCTCCGGTCTAGCCCGGCCACTGTCCCTCGTCCTTTTAGACTTTAGGGTGTCAGCTCCATTTCTGGTGTGTCCAGCCAAGGAGAAACCAAGGAGGCTGAGCCTTGGTGACAAAGTGGCTCAGACACGGGAGGGCAGGGGTCGCTCCATGAGACGGTGCCGTGGTCAGCACAATCCCCCGGTGATTTCAGAGCCAGGGCAGAGCCGCCACCCGTGGTGCCCTCCACGGCCTTCTCAGGTAGCGGCTGGCCCGGGGCTCCCAAATGGGGCTGAGGAGACAGGACAGGCCGGTGAGGGCATCTAAGACAGCACGTGGGTCTCTGTGACAGGCAGTCAGAGGGCCGGGGCGTGGGGGACAGGCTGGCCGAGCCGGGCCCGCCCTGCCAGGGCTTCCTGCGCAGACCCTGACCGTAGAAGCAAAGCCCGGGTGGCCGGGACCCGCCGTGAAAGCCATCAGCAGGTGTGCTGGCCACCCGGCCTGGCCCCCGCCTGCAGCGGGTCTCCCCTCGTCCTGGGTGGTTCCTGTCACCCAGCACCTCACACCTCATTCACAACCCCAAACACACAAAAGCAAACGAAA